TATTCACCAAATAAATGTCCAGTCCGATAGATTCGTTACCAAAAGCTCCACTTTAATAAAACAATGTCTTCCTCAATATTCCTCTATAGCCCTCTACCTACATATATAATGCGCTTTTAGTTGTGCTGCCACAAAGCTTTGGAACCACCTAAAACAAGATATAATAAAAATCTCATCTGAAGCCGTCTTAACAACTTTGAGAATGACCAAATTTGTTCAGGAGCTTTTGAGCAATTTATAAGTCCGTAAAATGGCACTGTTGGGAGAATTTTTTCCCCCATCATTGTGTTATTTTTTATTACAGCGCAGTAGAGTTTACTAGAAAGTTATATAATAGATGCAACGTTGTAATTGATTCGAAGTTCGTCACGTGATATTGATTACGATGTTCGTAATTAGCATATTCGACTCATGGTAAATCTTTTCATGTGATATTGACCTTCCGGTCAAATGAGTATATATTGGTGTCAAACCGTATCCAAGCAACCCTGCAACCACCAGCTGAGCGGGGGAAGGGAAGAGGGGGGGGGGGGGGAGGTGTAGTTTATTGTAGGGTTCCTCTTGCCAGGTGCGTACACAGGGGGGGGGGGGGGTGTGGGATGGAACCCCCCCCCCCTCACATTTATTTTTGGTGTTTTGGAGGGAAAAAAAACCTTATTGTTTTTTGTATAAATTTTTTATTAAAAAATAATAATCCAATACAAACAAAAATATGCTAATCGGTGTCCTTAAAATGGTAACCTTACCCCCCCCCCCCCTCCAAACGGAACGAAATGTCGATCGGTCAAATTTTCAACAACAACAAAATGTGTCATCTTTTTTCGATAAAGAGGAAACAAATAAACTTGAAACTTGAAAACTAAAATACATTCACAAAATTGTAGTTTGATACCTAAAATGAACTTTGAAATATTTATCAAAATTATCGATATTATACCTTTTTTTTCTTCAATTTTTTTTACCACTTATCCTAGAATATCACAGAATTAATTTGTTACCAAATAAAAAAAAAAGGAGGTGGGCGCCCAAAAATGCTTGCGGGGGCAAGAAACAAGGAGTTATAAGAATACGAAAGCTGCAATGTCCCCTGAAAAGAATAGCTCTTCAAAGTGGTCACATATAATTGATTTCCTTGTTCAGTGTAGTGAGGTAGCGACAATATCGTTATATTGACACTCATTTGATAACTATTCGAAACATGACATATTTAGATTTCTTTCGCTTTAGGCATAAATAATAACTGGAACCCAATGACAGTTTAACTATTTCTTTATCCCTCCTTCAGCCATCCAATCATTCATTATTTTCTCTTTTTTTTCTCTCTCTCTCTCTTCCCCTCTTTTTCATTTATTATTTTTAATTTCCATCATAGTAACTATCCCTCTCTCTAACTCACATTCGCTCAAACACTGTTATCACTTAATCACTCTCTCGCTCTCACCCACTCACTTATTCATTTTGTTTTTGCTCTCCCACTCGCTTATGAAATTTCTATCTCACTATATCACTATCTCTCTTTCTCAATTGATCTCTTTCTTATATTGATACCTACTAATTCGACAAACTCGCTCCTGTTTTGGATGCAGCGGAAAAGATCTATGGATAATGACGTCATGGCCGTGGTTGAGAATATCAGTTATTGTCCGTTAGTTTTTAAATATTGCTTTATGTGTAATGGTACATTCTAGGGGAAAGCAATCTTAGCAACATGTATTGCTGAATTTAAGCAGCAATTGTTTAGCCATTTGATACAACTATCAACCATGACGTGGCAATTTCCTCTTTCAAGTAGGACTCACAATTCGTTTTACAGCTGATTGTGCTTGGTTAACTCCACTGTTCAGAGGATGTAGCAGAGAGGGATAGAAGTGAATGACGATGTGTTATTTCTTTTATTTGTTCATCGTCTCTTAATGCTATTTGAATATTTTGATGACAATAAACATGGCGGTACTATTTATATGGAACCGTCACCTGGCAGATAAATAAATCAGTTCCTGGCTAAATAATTTGAAAGACAACTGCATTTGAACCCCGGGTCAAACACCCCCACCCCCCTCTCACCCCTCTCGCTCTCTCTTTATCTCTTTCTTTCTCCCTCTCTTTCTCTCTCAAAGTACGATCGGAGAAATAAACGTGCGCTCCTACTTCTCCCCTAAAGCTACGCCACTAATTAACAACATTATCTAGCTTATTCCAGACAGTAAGTCTTACAATAAACAAAATAATAATACAAAACCCTGGACACAATTATAAAGAAGGAAACTCTATTTATATATATTTAATGAAGCAAATGCATACTTATGCTGATTACTTGGGGCAGAATATAGAGCAAACTCTACTTTGGTAACCAATAACTGCAGTTAAAATTAGAACCTAAGTTTTGCTTCAAAGAATTGTGGTCACGATAACCTTCTGGTGTAATTCATTAAAGATAGTGCGATTTCACATTCACTTGCAAATATGTCTAACTGGTCATTAGAAACAAGGCAAGGTTGCTGAATGTTAGCAACAGTCGGTCACAATTGCTACTCTTTAATAAAACCATGATGTGGCAATTTACTCTTTTAGCTATGACTCACAGTGATTCGGGTCACAGTTGATTCTACTCGGTTGATTTTACTGTTCGGGTGATTTAGCAGAGAGATAGAGATTGAAGAATATTCTCACGATTACCCACGATGTATTATTATTCTTATTTGTTCATCGTCATTTCAATGCTATTTGAAAATATTTTGATGACGATAACCGAAATTGTGGAACTATTTGTACGTACCATCACATGACAATCACATGACGAACAAATTCATCAGAACCAGGTTGAATAATTTGAAAGAAACTAGAAATTGAACCCCGGGCAAACCCGTCCATTCCTCTCTCTCTCTCTCTCTCTCTCAATACAATTGGAGAAATAATCGTGCCCTTTACCATCTCTCCCTTTGGAGCTGCGCCACTGATTTACTACAAACTTTATCTAGTTTATTCCAGAAAGTAGGTCTTACAATACCAGAAATGGAAACAAGAATGATGAAGTACAATGTAAATACCTCTTACTGCTACCTTTTCCAAGGTTTGTAATTGGCCGGACGTTTGAAGTGCATGATTTACCCCTGGCCAGTCAAGATGGAAATCAGATATATCTAATATGGATGTTTGTATCATTAGTTTGCATAATGATGATGGGGTCAACATTATTCATGTTGTTTTCTCCGTGAGGGTGCCCTGCGATCCTATTAGTATACGCATTATTTGATATGACCTCCCACAAATTGCAACAGAAAGTCTGTCAACTGTTATATACACAGAAATATGTCCTCTGTAGCATATCAAAACTCTTAAAGAATAAGACCAGTTATGGGCATGCGATTGCATTGTGAAAGAAACGTTGTGGAATCGATCAGAAAAGGTTGATCATCTAGCATATAAGTATTGGTGTTTACTGCAAGGTTATGGAATTATCAAAATTATAAGAAATTTGGCCCAGTCTTGGTAAAGTTTCAATTCAGCAAATATATCAATTAGTAGGCGGTTTCTCGGCAAAATTTGTATGCTCACATATTAGTAAAAACATATTCTTTCACATGATTGGTAATAAGAGCTTCCATTTCATTTTTTGAGATGGGGGCGTTTCCAAAACTGGTCTTTACCTTTAAGGAATCATGGTGGGAGAAAGTTCTTCAAATATTTCCCTATGTATCTGCTTTTAAAGAACATAGAGCTTTGATTTTAAGTGCTAAACATACATTTTAGGGACAAGGAATCTAATGGAAAAAATTCAAGAAGCTAAACCTAGCCAAAAAGCCGAAACGGCAGCCATTTTCCAAAATGGTTGCCATAAACCTGATATTTCCCAATATCTTCGCTTCTAAATGACGTAAGGGGTTTTATTTTCATTGCTAAGTATACATTTTCGGGGGCCAGGAATAAAATCAAACCTTTTTTAATGAGCTAAACCAGACCAAAAAACCTAAATGGCAGCCATTTTCCAAAATGTTCCAAAAAGGCTGCCATAAACCTGATATTTCCCAATATTTCCGCTTCTTGATGACCAAGGGCTGAGTTTTAGCGCTAAACATACAGTTTTGTTCAGTTAAAAATACGATGGCATACTGTATGCCTGATGGACGACGTACATGCCGATGCTCTACAGTTGCCACATGCAGCTGAACATTTTATGTCATGCTTGTTACATGTACACTTCAGACTGCTGCAGTCTGTCTGGCAGTTGCATCGGATAATCTTGAGGAGCTCTTCCGGAGCTGGTGGCACTACAGTCTGTCTGCACGGGCTCGAGTCATCCCATGCTTTCCCGCTCATCAGCTGCAATGCCTTTCCACTGCTGGACCTAGCAGTCGACACGAAGGCTATGGTGCTTCGCGGCTGCTGATGTGATCGGTAGACTTTGGGGTTGCACATAGGAAGTGCAGGAGGCAACCTTCTGGCAGAACCACTTATGTCACACCACGTTGAGTGACTATGCGGGCTTCTTATTGTACAGACATGCCAGAGCTTTCTCTCCTGCTTCCACAACATCATCGATCGGTGGACGCTGCCGGTCTGTCAAACACCTGGCTTGTTGAGGAAGCTCCCTTGCCATACCAATGTCAATGGCATACATGCGGGAAGTAGTATCGCATCCCAGGAGAGTGTGCATGAAGAAAATGCGCTGTGAAACATCTGGGCCTAACTGCTGTATGACAGACCTCATGTTCCAGACACGCGGTATCTTCACTCTTCTTTGGCTCGGGTTGGAAGAACAGGTCACATGACTCGAGGTTGGTGTGGTAGATGAGCAGGATGAGTAGATATGTGTCATCTCCGATCAGCACAGTATCAGTGGTGGCTGCAGACTTCACTGCCTTGTGCACTATGAGAAGATCAGCGTCACCTGCAGCATATGATGTGTCTGGCAGTTATGTGCCCGTAATTTGGGGCTGAGCATGTTGATGAAGTGCTGCTTGTTTGCCAAGAATTGTTCTTTCTTCATTGTGGCCTGCATAATGTCACCGTTGCCCCAGCATTCCCTCTCGTACGTCTTTGATGTGTTGTGTCCTTTGGTGATGTACCTTCATAGTAATCAAAGACGACTGCTGATGACCTTGACCTTCCTCTTGAATGTGTAGTCAGCAGCAATTCGTCCATTCATGTTGGTCAGGATTGCTGTTCCAACATTGCTTGGAAAATTGCAATACTGTGAGGTAAATAATGTTGAACTGGCTTGATTTGAGGATTACTTGATGAATGGAAGCCAGAGAACTGGCATAGGGGAAAATAGATCTGAATGGGGTCGAGTAAAGTCAGGGGTCCCTCAGGTATCTATCATAGGTCCCCTTCCCTTTACTATCATGGTCAACGATCTCCCTCAAGTTATAACTAAATCTCAAATCATGCTTTATGCTGTTGATGCAACAGTTTTCTGCAGTAGCAGAAGCCCGCTAGAAATTGAGAGTATCCTAAACTCAGAACTCAAAAAGATACAAGACTGGGTACAGACGAACAAATTACTATAAATCTGGTTAAAACACAGCTCATGCTCTTTGGATCATCACATAAACTAGCTCTTCTCTCAAAACAAATAAAATTATTTTTCGACGATCAACAACTTTTTCAAGTATATACCTACATATATCTGGGTGTCTGGTTAGACCCAACTTTCAGTTGGAAAGAGCATGTTAGACATACAAGCAAGAAGATTCCATTAAGGATAGCACTTTTACGTCGCGCTAAAAGATGTGTTTGCATCTAGACAGTTTGAAGGTACTTGCGAACTCATTAATATTGCCTCTGTTTGATTACTGCTCCACTGATTGGTCAACCTGTCCACACAATACAAAAGTCATATTTATAAACCAACATAAAAGGATGGCCAGAATTGTTCTTGGGGAAAATCAACTCACACCAAAAGTTCAAGTCTCGCCTCACTCAATCTCTCTCTCTCTCTCTCTCTCTCTCTATTTCTATCTCTCTCTATCTCTCTCTATCTCTTTTTTTGTTGTCACAATACAATTGGATAAAATAATGCACGTGCCTTTATGCACCCTCCTCCCTTTGGAGCTACGTCACTGACTTTATCTAGTTTATCCCAAAGAGTGTGTCTTACCATAAAAACACCCTGGAAACTAGGATGAAGAAAATAATACTTCTCATAGCTACCTTTTTCCATGTTTGTAATTTGCTGGTCGACTTACAATAGTGATGAAGAAAACGAGCTAAGTTCAACATGTATTTTAGTCATGTACATAATGATGATGACAAACGTTGGTTTATATACATACGGTAGCATCAAGAGTATTGTAGTTCTCTTCATCAGGCCCCTACAATACTATTATTATGCCTCAGGTTTATTTTTTAAAGGTTTTTGTATTAAATGTCTTAAAATCATCGTTTAACCATGTTAGATATGAGATGCAGCGCCCTCCGTGTCATCAGTGATTTTGAAATGTTTTAATATAGAAGCCCTAAAAAATGAGCTTAAAGATAAACTTGACTTCTGGTAATGCGATTGCATTGTGAAAAAAAGGTGTGGAATGGATCAGAAAAGTTGATTATATAGCATGTAAGTAATGGTGTGTAATGCAAGGTTCTGGAGTCATCAAAATCATCATAAATTTGGCAGAGTCTTGGTAAAGTAACGATCACTTACACAGAAAGATGTATATGGGGCAACACACATGGTATCGGGGCGAGTACTACCCTGATTTCCATATCTTTCTATGCTCATTACTCAGCCAGTATACATTTTCTTCCAAAATTGTTTGGCACATGACATTTATTTGTAATCTTGAACATTCAGTGTAACTTCCGTTAGATTCTGTGAGAATTCATTTTCTTTTTTTACCAGAACTCAAGTTTATCTTTAAAATGATCATGAAGTGCCTCAAAAAAGTAAAACAAATCGTTTCCCCAATGGACTGTACTGTTAGGAAAACCGTTAGGAAAACCCGAAATTTGATTTTGATTTCCAATCATAAATATATTGATTCAGACATGAGATCGGCTTGTAATAGTCATGGGTTTCCTGAGTGACCTAAAGGTTTATAATTATCATTGCACCATGAGCTAAATCCAGAATTTGGTTTCAGAATCTGAGACAAAGTTACCGAATCTTTTAACAATATTTTATGAATTATTATATTCAAGTATACCCTAATTTGCATCATTCCCAAAATGTATTTGGTTATTTGGTACAGAATGAATAACATGTACAAATAAAATGTTAACATTAAAGGTAAAGCAATCTCAGCAACATTCCTAGCTGAATTTTAGCAGCAATCGTTCACCATTTAATAAAACCATGACGTGGCAATTTATTTTTTTCAGGTAGTACTCATACTAATTCATTTTACAGTTGGGTCCGCTTGGTTGATTCCACTGTTCCGAGTGCACGTTCATCGTCGCTATACTATTTGAATATTTTGATGACAATAAACATTGCGGTACTATTCATTAGAAACCGTCCCATGGTTGTCGCATGGCAGATAAAAGTACCAGTACAATGCTTTAAATGATAGGGACTTTTAGATTCTGCACGACGAGAACGTGGACTGCCCTTTTAAGGCACTGGCAGTAACGTCACATTGCCTTAAAAGGGCAGTCCGCATAATCTAAAAGTCCCTACTATGACAGATAGCTGAATCTTAACCGCGGGCCATACCGCAAACCTCCCTCCCGTATCTCTCTCTCTCTCTCTCTCTCTCTCTCTCGCAATAAATTCGAATTCGTCTGGTTTGAGCTAGGATGGCGCCATTCATTTCTGATCTGTTGGTACCAATGGGAGCTTTACACAAATTAATTGTACGGATATGGGGTGAAGTATTTTGTGGCATTTTTAAAAAATTCTTTCGTATCATTTATCAAGTATTCGAGAGCCCATATTTCAGAATTATAAAGAGGTATTGGTTTTATACAGTTATTGAAAAGTTTTAGGTTGGGTAATAACGATATTTGGTCTATGGGGGAAATGTTTCGTTGTCTAAATAGGGCGGCTTTTCGATTTGTTTATTAGGTCTTTTATAGCGTAAACGTGCCTCATTCTTTGAAAATATTTCCTAAATATTTGTTTTCCTTACTTGTTTCTTTGTCGGTGCTATCAAATAAAAACACCTTTCTATTCAACATTCTTCCTGTCTTATTAAACAAATTTGATTTGTTTTTCCTGTTTTAATGTGTTTAATATTAAAGTGATTTAATGCTTTTTAAAGTCCAAACCCCGTTTCAGATACAAAATACATTCATTTTGTTTAATTAATTTTGTGACAATGAATCTATAGTATCTTAATACACAACTACCGAAGTGGGGAAAGATTGGGTTATTTTGTTTTGCAGTAAAACAGAAAGTCGTGCATCTGCGTATATATTTTTGATAATAACGTAGAATGGACTAGTTATATTATGAGTATTTTTTTTTAAGAGAAGAGCGTTTCTGTTCAAAAAATCAAACGCTTTAAAGAAGTCCACAAAGCACACGTACACATATTTCTTATTTTTAAACATTTATCTACCGTTTTTTTTTTTGGAGTGAATAAATGTTCACTAGTCCTGCAACCTTTTTCTAAACTTATCTGATCAGCGGTCATTATGTTGTTTTCTTAAAAGTATGTTTGAAATGTATTGTAGAGTATTCTTGAACAAAAAATTTGCAAAGGAGCTTGTTAGGGTTATCCCTAAATAATTGGAGGGGTCCTTACCGTCTCCTTCTTTGGGTATTGGTTTTATGAGATTAATTATAAATAGAGCCCGATTTCCTTCTTCTGAGAGTATTAATCGCATGCAAGACTTCTTTCACTGTGAAAGTAGAATTAAGTTGTTGTGTATCCAAGCTTGTTTGTTTTGAGTCTTTTTCAGTATCAAATTTAAGTTTGTAATCTGTATTCATTAGTTTTTTTAGATGAACGTACCATTATTTCGCTGTAATATCAATGGACGCATTATCTGTGTATTTTTCTTTTATTCTGTCTACAAGTTTCCCAAAAGATGGAAAGTCTCTGTTATCTAGCGAGAGTAATTTATCACGGGCATGTTTTTTTGTGTACGCTCTGTGGTTATTATTTGTTATTCTCCGAAGGAATTTTTGTTCGCATGAACTTTTTAGCCATAATACGTTTTTATCAGTTATCAAAATCAATTGTAGCTTGAATCTATATATCGAATAAAACAATGATTTTGTCCCTTTTTCTTGACCTTAAATCTCACCTTTTGTTTTACGAAATCGCCAGCAGCGACCTTTGCGTATAGGTGTCGACTGTTTTGTTTATTCTTCTTTTGTTATCCCTTTTTTGTTTAATTCATTTAATAAGATTTTTGACAAATCTAAATTGATTTGTTCAACATTTTTGTTTGTTTAATTTTGTTAAGAATCGACCTTCAAACGTTCGGGTGCATTTGCATGGCTGTATGTCATGTAATTCCCTATCGGCATAGGCAAATACAAATGATTGAAGGGTCAACGTCATTTGGCAATGATCGGATAATGGAGGGAAGAACTATCCAAATTCAATAAATAAAGCATTATTTACTAGTGAGGCACTACATACACAGTAATCATCGATTGAGATACCTCTTGTATTATAGAGAGTTGCTGTTTCCATTGTCTAACCGAATAATCTTCAGAGTTGAGCAGTTATGTGGATAGATCCAGATTTTGTTTTCCGTAATTAGTAGTGACTTGCTGTATCGACAAGTTTCGACGTTGAGGGGGTTGTCTCTGAAATGTAAGCATTATGTAGAGAGTGTACTAATGGATCAAATTAATCAAGTCTGATGTAGTCACATTTATCTTGATTATAGGGGACATTGAGGTATCCCATAATAATAACTGTTCCTTTTGCGTTGCATATTTATTTCTTTTATTTCGAGGTTTCCCAATATCTCTATATTTATTCCAGTTCTCAATGTGTGTGATGAATTAACAGTTTGAAATGTATATATTAGGCATTTCTGAAGCCGAAAATGTATGACTGAGCTTTAGCCACATAATATTCACTGCAGCAGGGGCGTAAATCCCGGGGGGATGGGGGCTGCATCCCCCCTGGCTTGAAGTAGGGGGGGATGGCCTGTACAATCATCCCCCCTAA